GGGAGTCTCATTTCCACATGTGTCCTAACCAGAAACTATCGATGATGATTCAAACAACATCTGGTTTTCTGTTTGTCGCTACTGAAGGCAACTGTTTATTGGCCAATCTTTCATCTGTGTGAAGGTCCAACGAGTGTTGTCTGTAGCTTTAAGAGCCCCAGTTTAAAAAGAAAGGAAGGCAAAAGCCATCTCTCCCGTGCTCCGTGCAGAAAAGTCAAGGAATAAAATGGCTGTGAAACTATGTGACTACCCTTCACCATTGCCTCTGTTTCCAGGGATGTTACTGGTTCCTAAAGCCGAAGCAAGATTTAGCTTTTTATCACAACTGGCTTCTCTGGTGTCAGCTGAAGACGATGTTTCTTTTAAATAGAAATGCATTTGCAGCCCAACCCCAGCTGGTCAGTTATTTTCCAACCAGACATCAAAGGCATCTCAGCCAGGGCCGGTTTTTCTTTTATTTAAGTTTTTAATGGTTTACAATAAGGAATCTTTCAGTGTAACCACCAGCCTGAATAGTGCAATTCCCCTAGGGTTCCATCTGGACTCCTCCAGGTGAGTAATTTGTTCAAGAAGCAATCCTCAAAACCTTCCCTGAAAATGGCTCTATTAACACTAAGTTCCTTTGCTCTTTTTCCAGCTGAGCGCAGGGTATCAAGTTACAGTTCACAGAACTCAGGCATAAACTAGACATTACCGAGTATGTGTAGCTGCCCCTGGAAAAAACAGCCTCACGTGTCACCATTGTTCTAGTTACAGGTAGGTTGCCGTGTTGGTCTGCCATAGTCGAAACAAAATAAAAAAAATCATTCCCGTAGCACCTTAGAGACCAAATAAGTTCATTATTGGTATGAGCTTTCATGTGCATGCAGACTTCTTCAGATACCATTGTCACAACTGTGTCTCACAGCTTCTGTTTCTCTTTATGAACTGCCACTTAGAGAGGTGGGAGAAGTCACAACATCACCGGTCCTCACCATATGTTTTGTTTGAGTTGATATGATGGGAAAGAAGGTAGAGGGGGTTGTGGCTCAGTGGCAAAGCACACTTTCGCACCTGGGTCCCAGGTGCCATAAACATTATCTCCATGCAGGGCTGGGAATGTCCCCATGGCTAATTCTAGACAGCTGTTGCCAGATGGATCAGAGGTCTTACTCAGTATAAGGTAGCTTTGCCCCTGTTGTCCAGTTCTGTTAGTTCAATAAAGGTTCTTGCTGTTATCACTGTGTCTTGCCTCTTGGGAACCCACCTACACTTCACTTACATTCTGTGCTGAGATACAAGACTGCTACAACTATAGCAGCCACAGAACTGCATAACCTCTACTTCAGCAGATCTGATTCAGATTTGGTTTACCTATGTTGGCTCAGGTCACCAGACATACCGTATTTTTCGTTCTATAGGACGCACCGGCCCATAGGACGCACCTCATTTTTTTGGGGGGAATGAATAAAAAAATTATTCCCCCAGCTGCCGCCCCAAGCCTCGCGTGCTTCGGGCTGCAGGCTACCGCCCCAAGCCTCGCGCGCTCGGCGGGACCTCCCACCGGGCGCGCGAGGCTTGCAGACACTCGCCCGAAGCACGGGGAGCCCTCCGGAGGGCTCCCCGTGCTTCGGGCGACAGGCTGCCGCCCCAAGCCTCGCGCGCTCGGCGGGACCTCCTGCCGGGCGCGCAAGGCTTGCAGACACTCGCCCGAAGCCTCGCGCGCTTGGCAGGACCTCCTGCCGGGCACGCAAGGCTTGCGGACACTCCTGCCGGGCGCGCAAGGCTTGCAGACACTCGCCTGAAGCACGGGGAGCCCTCCGGAGGGCTCCCCGTGCGTCGGGCGAAAAGCTGCAGCCCCAAGCCTCGCGCATTGGGTGGGACCTCCTGCCGGGCGCGCAAGGCTTGCAGACACTCGCCCGAAGCCTCGCGCGCTCGGCAGGACCTCCTGCCGGGCACGCAAGGCTTGCGGACACTCGCCCGAAGCACGGGGAGCCCTCCGGAGGGCTCCCCGTGCTCCGGCGGCTAGGCTGCAGCCCCAAGCCTCGCGCGCTCGGCGGGACCTCCTGCCGGGCGCGCAAGGCTTGCGGACACTCGCCCGAAGCACGGGAGCCCTCCGGAGGGCTCCCGTGCTTCGGCGGCAGGCTGCAGCCCCAAGCCTCGCGCGCTCGGCGGGACCTCCTGCCGGGCGCGCAAGGCTTGCAGACACTCGCCCGAAGCACGGGAGCCCTCCGGAGTGCTCCCTGAGCTGCCGGCGACAGGCTCCAGCCCCAAGCCTCGCGCGCTCGGCGGGACCTCCTGCCGGGCGCGCAAGGCTTGCAGACACTCGCCCGAAGCCTCGCACGCTCGGCGGGACCTCCTGCCGGGCGCGCAAGGCTTGCGGACACTCGCCCGAAGCACGGGAGCCCTCCGGAGGCTCCCCGTGCTTGGGCGACAGGCTGCCGCCCAAGCCTTGCGCGCTCAGCGGGACCTCCTGCCGGGCGCGCAAGGCTTGCAGACACTCGCCCGAAGCACGGGAGCCCTCCGGAGGGCTCCCCGTGCTTCGAGCGACTAGGCTGCTGCCCCAAGCCTCGCGCGCTCGGCGGGACCTCCTGCCGGGCGCGCAAGGCTTGCGGACACTCGCCGGGGCTGCAGGCTGCTGCCTGCAAGCCTTGTGAGCCCGCAGGAACTCCCACCGGGCTTGCAAGGCTTGCGGATAGCTTCCTGAAGCCTGGAGAGCGAGAGGGGTCGGTGCGCACCGATGCCTCTCGCTCTCCAGGCTTCAGCGCATCTACGTCGCTCCATAGGACGCACACACATTTCCCCTTCATTTTTGGAGGGGAAAAAGTGCGTCCTATGGAGCGAAAAATACGGTAGCTTTATATCACTTTGGGAAGACATATAAGGATAGGTGGAGTTTTAAGTAGAACGAGCCAAATATGGACCTTATATCATCTATTACCCACACTCTACCAAACATGTCAGTTAAATAATATGGGTTGAATCCCACCATATCCTTTCCACTTGCTGAAAGTATCTTCTGTTCCTGAAAGAATGTGCAACTCCCACCTGCATTTTAGCCTCACACCAAGCTGGGGAGGTGGGTGAGGGTGAAAAAAAATGACTGGCCCCAAATCAACCAGTGACTACCACAGCTGGAGAGGTATTTGAACCCAGAGTCCCCCAGTCTAGGTCTAGCACTGTCATCAATACACACTTTGTCGTCAGATTTCTCTTTTTCATGTGTACTTGATCCCAGTAACAGCTAAAGCAGTGATGGCCAAACTTGGCCCTCCAGCTGTTTCGGGACTACAATTCCCACCATCCCTGACCGCTGGTCCTGTTAGCTAGGGATGATGGGAGTTGTAGTCCAAGAAAAGCTGGAGGGCCAAGTTTGGCAATCACTGAGCTAGCGAATGAAGATTAAGGCTGCAATCCTATCCACACACTTTCTTGGGAGTAAAGAGGATTGGATACAGTGGGTCTTAATTTTGAGATAATATGCCTAGGATCAGGCTGTAAGCGTTTTTTTAAAAAAACCAGCCTATCCCTTCAAATGGTTTCTTTCTTTAATATGTATGAAGTAAGATATCTTGAGTCCAAAGAGGCAGAATCATAGAATTGTAGAGTTGGAAGGGATCCCAAGGATCATTTAGTCCAACCACCTGCAGTGCAGGAGAGGTAGGAGAGGGGTTTTTTATTACTATTATTCTATAAGTGGGAGACATGAGAAGTATTTTTAGGAAGACTTGCCGGATCCACTTAGCAGCCAACAAGTAATGAAGGGACTTGCTACACATGGTAGTATATTAAGGGGCTTTCAATGAAATTTTAGTAAGAGGCTTTGAGCCCACTGGGTAAATTGTCATTATCATCAGGGTTCACTCAGCAGTTAGTGTCTCGAGCACAGGAAGCTGTTGTAATATTCTCAAACATTCTTGTGAGCATTGCTGCTGCTTCTTCTTTTAAGCCAATGAAGCTGACAGTGCCTGTCATTATGCCCCTTTCAAACAGATTTTATAAATGGCCAGGGATGCTGGATACTTTGCTGCAATTCCAAGGGACAGCAATAGAGGAAAGCAGCATTTATTCCTAAAAACTTCAGCGCATGCCTCCATCTTTTAACAAAGCAATATTCTGCTTTTCAAACAAATTGTGTTTGCTGACTGGATATATAGTTTGGGATGTAAACCTGACCATTGTAGGCCATGCCCTTGGGCCTGGTTTGGGAGCTCTAGCTGGTATAGAATGTGGTGGTCAGACTGCTGATGGAAGTATCTGGCTGAGAACATGTACCATCATTGCATGTTGAGGTCCCCAAGACACCCCCAAATAAAACACAAATGACACTTGATTTTAGTTTAAGGTTTTTGGCATAATTTTGGCCACAACTTTATTAAAAATACAAGAAATGTGAGTGGTTGCTTAGGCATTGGTTGCGACTATCTGACCCCGCACAGGGTCATGCCTGAGAAGTCAGTAAGGGAAAACATTAGGGGAGAGAGACGGAGCTGGGTACGCAGTAGGCAAAAACCAAATGGCACCAGCCAATCAGCCAAATGGACAAAATTCCTACCGGGCCCCTGCCCCAAAAGCAGACGACCCCATCACAGGCATAGCAAGGTCAAGCGAACAACCCGGAAAATAGGGAGGGTGGGTGGGTGATCCGATGCGCGCAGCGAAAAGAGGAAGCTCAAAGCTGCGCACAGGGTATTTAAAGGCTATGGCTGTCAATCACAAAATGGCAACATATAAATCTCCCCAGCAACAAGAAGAGCTCAGTGATAATGGTGGCGACCCAGCAACAGTGGGGTGCCTTGTTAGCCCCCACCGCAACACGTGCTCTCCATGAAGGAGAACACACTTTATTAAAGCATCTGCATTGGCTGCCCATCTACCACTAAGCCAGATTCAAGGTTCTTGTGTATTAATTTACAGAGCCCAAAGCAACTGAGATCCAGGATATATCAGGGATCACCTGAATAGCCCAGGTCACTAAGATCATCTGCAGGAGCATCATCAGCCATTCCCTGAGTTAGCTAGCTGGGATAGCTCAGTCAGTAGAGCATGAGACTCTACATCTCAGGGTCATGGGTAGAAGCCCAACCTTGGGCAAAAGATTCCTGCAATGCAGAGGTTGAACTAGAATCACAGAATCATAGAGTTGGAAGAGACCACAAGGGCCATCGAGTCCAACCCCCTGCCAAGCAGGAAACACCATCAGAGCACTCCTGACATATGGTTGTCAAGCCTCTGCTTAAAGACCTCCAAAGAAGGAGACTCCACCACACTCCTTGGCAGCAAATTCCACTGTCGAACAGCTCTTACTGTCAGGAAGTTCTTCCTAATGTTTAGGTGGAATCTTCTTTCTTGTAGCTTGGATCCATTGCTCCGTGTCCGCTTCTCTGGAGCAGCAGAAAACAACCTTTCTCCCTCCTCTATGTGACATCCTTTGATATATTTGAACATGGCTATCATATCACCCCTTAACCTCCTCTTCTCCAGGCTAAACATGCCCAGCTCCCTTAGCCGTTCCTCATAAGGCATCGTTTCCAGGCCTTTGACCATTTTGGTTGCCCTCCTCTGGACACGTTCCAGTTTGTCAGTGTCCTTCTTGAACTGTGGTGCCCAGAACTGGACACAGTACTCCAGGTGAGGTCTGACCAGAGCAGAATACAGTGGCACTATTACTTCCCTTGATCTAGATGCTATACTCCTATTGATGCAGCCCAGAATTGCATTGGCTTTTTAGCTGCCGCGTCACACTGTTGGCTCATGTCAAGTTTGTGGTCAACCAAGACTCCTAGATCCTTTTCACATGTACTGCTCTCAAGCCAGATGTCACCCATCTTGTATTTGTGCCTCTCATTTTGTTTGCCCAAGTGCAATACTTTACATTTATCCCTGTTAAAATTCATCTTGTTTGTTTTTGCCCAGTTCTCTAATCTTTCAAGGTCGTTTTGAAGTGTGATCCTGTCCTCTGGGGTGTTATCAACCCCTCCCAGTTTTGTGTCATAAGCAAATTTGATCATGATGCCCTAGAGTCCATCATCCAAGTCATTGATAAAGATGTTGAATAAGACCAGGCCCAAGACAGAACCCTGTGGCACCCCACTAGTCACTCTTCTCCAGGATGAAGAGGAACCATTGATGAGCACCCTTTGGGTTCAGTCAGTCAGCCAGTTACAAATCCACTGAGTGGTAGCATAGTCAAGACCGCATTTTACCAGCTTCTTTACAAGAATATCATGGGGCACCTTGTCAAATGCCTTGCTGAAATCAAGGTAGGCTACATCCACTGCGTTCCCTTCATCTACCAGGCTTGTAATTCTGTCAAAAAACGAGATCAGGTTAGTCTGACATGACTTATTTTTCAGAAATCCATGCTGACTAGCGGTGATCACAGCATTCCTTTCTAGGTGCTCACAGACTGTTTGCTTAATGATCTGCTCCAGAATCTTCCCTGGTATTGATGTCAGACTGACTGGGCGGTAATTATTTGGGTCCTCTCTTTTCCCCTTTTTGAAAATAGGGACAACATTTGCCCTCCTCCAGTCTGCCGGGACTTCGCCTGTTCTCCAGGAATTCTCAAAGATGACTGCCAGTGGTTCTGAGATCACATCTGCCAGTTCTTTTAATACTCTTGGATGCAGTTCATCTGGCCCTGGAGACTTGAATACATCTAAACTAGCCAAGTATTCTTGTACTATCTCCTTAGTTATTCTGGGCTGTGTTTCCTTTGCTGAATCATTTGCTCCAAATTCTTCAGGTCGGGCATTGTTTTCTTTATCGGAGAAGACTGAGGCAAAGAAGGCATTGAGGAGTTCAGCCCTTTCTGTGTCCCCTGTTTGCATTTCACCATCTTCTCCTCTGAGTGACCCCACTGTTTCTTTGTTCTTCCTTTTGCTACGAACATACCCATAAAAGCCTTTTTTGTTGCTTTTAACCTCTCTAGCAAGCCTGAGTTCATTCTGTGCTTTAGCTTTTCTGACTTTGTGTCTACACGTGCTGGCTATTTGTTTGAATTCCTCTTTGGTGGTTTCCCCCTTTTCCATTTTTTGTACACATCCTTTTTTAATCTTAAGTCAGTTAAAAGTTCTTTAGATAGCCACCCTGGCTTCTTTAGGCACCTTCCATGTTTCCGTCTCATTGGTATTGCCTGACGTTGTGCTTTTACTATCTCCCTCTTAACAAACTCCCAGCCATCATGAACTCCCTTTCCTTTTAGTATTACTGTCCATGGGATCTCACCCAGCACTTCCCTAAATTTTATGAAGTCGGCTTTCTTAAAGTCAAGAAATTGAGTCCTAGTATGCTTGGCTGCTCCTTTCCGCTGTATAGTAAACTTCAGAAGAGCATGATCACTCGCGCCTAATGATCCTTCCACTTCTACCCCACTAACCAGGTCATCAACATTGGTTAGGACCAGATCTAAAATGGCTGTTCCTCTTGTTGCTTCTCCCACTTTCTGGACAATGAAGTTGTCTGCAAGGCCACTACATGACCCTTGTGGTCCCTTCCAACTCTTTGATTTGACAACAAGATTAAAACCAGCCTTCAGTGTAATCTGCCCAGTGTTATGGAATACTCTGTCAATATGGATTCAGCAGGCACCTTCTATTACAGCTTTCAAATGCCTGCTGAAAATTTTTTAATCAGTCAGGCTTATGCAAGCCAATAAGAACACATATTTCCATAATAGCTGATTTCTGATTTCATTTTTGCTTTACGTGATTTTCATTGCATGGTTTTATGTATAACTGTTGTAAACCACTCTGATATTTTTTTATGACCATCAGTATATACATTTTTTAAACAAACAAATAAAGTTATAAATAAAAACTCTCAGCAGAGTGGAAACCCTAATTTTGGGATCACATATGTCTGGAATAAACGAAGGGCACAGAGGAAAGTGGTCAGGTACCCCATGAAAATGAATCATTGCACATTTGTAAAGGGAGTTTTAAAATCTCGCAGATTGTTCTTGTGTGATCATAAATCAGAACAACTCTCAGACCAGACAGATGGCTACAGTAAATGAGCAGAGCTTCCTTGATGTCAATGGGGACAAGCCAATTAGCAAATGATGAGAACCTAGTGCTATAGCTGTTATAGTTCTCTAAAGGCTAGGATTACAAGGGCACCATTGCTGATTTCAGTGGAGGCTGCGGAAGCACAATTCTCACCAAGGTTTAAAAGATGACACTTGATATTACAATAAAAAAATTCTCCAGTAGCACCTTATGGACCAACTAAGTTTGTTCTCGTATAAGCTTTCATGTGCATGGACACTTCTTCAGAAACCATACACTCGATATTACAGTGTCTAAAAAGAAAAATGCTGTGACGTTTAAGATCACTTGTTTTGGTCAATTTTTACACCACAGAAACAATCAATAAGTGATGATGTCAGGTGAAACAGTCAACTTTTGTTGTTGCTGTTATTATTTGCAGCTAAGGGAATTGTGCCCAGGCACATTTAACACTGCAGTGTCTACTCAGAAGCAAGCCCAAATATGGGTGTAGCCAGGATTTATTATAGGGACGGAAGGCATTATGTTGGGGGGGGGGGCAGAACTGAGTTATCTGTGATGCAATTGGTCAGTTAGTTAAGTATTTTTATATATTTACTTGATTTGGGGGGGGCACCCATGAGCCCCAATGAATTCAGTGATACCTTTGTTGTTGTTGTTTAGTCGTTTAGTCGTGTCCGACTCTTCATGACCCCATGGACCAGAGCACGCCAGACACTCCTGCCTTCCACTGCCTCCCGCAGTTTGGTCAAACTCATGCTGGTAGCTTCGAGAACACTATCCAACCATCTCGTCCTCTGTCGTCCCCTTTTCCTTGTGCCCTCCATCTTTCCCAACATCAGGGTCTTTTCCAGGGAGTCTTCTCTTCTCATGAGGTGGCCAAAGTATTGGAGCCTCAGCTTCACAATCTGACCTTCCAGTGATACCTACTACTAGATAAATAGCTACAGGTTGAATTCTTATTATTTATTTATTTTATTTTTTACATTGCCAAACCACCTTTTTCTTCCATGGAGTACATGGTTCTTCTCCTCCCCATTTCACCCTCACAACAACCCTGTGAGGTATGTTAGGTTGAAGAGCTGGTAATAGGCCCAGGGCCTGCAATAGCCCCACACTCCAGTGAGATGTATGGAAACACAGGTGTTTCTGACCTTCCATGTGCTGAGATTGCCCTTCCCCAGTCTGGTACAGCCCAGACATTTTGGATTACAACTCCCATCACTCCCAACCAACAAGGCTCATGGTCAGGGATGATGGAAACTGAAGTCTCAAACTTCTGGAGGACATCAGGTTGAGGAAGGCTGGCTTAGATCACCTCATGACATGCTGCTTTGAGTACCATAGCCACCAGAAACAAGGCTGGTGGATTAAAAAATGGAATTTGCTTCATGGTGACACCCATTCTTGCAACTCCCTCACAATGAAGGTCTACAAGGCTCCTTCACTGCTGACATTAAAAACCTATTCATTTGGAAAGGCTAATAGTATTGTTGGAAAAAATGCTGCTAACCTTTTAATATTGATTTTGATGCTGCTTTATTAATGTTTAGCATTGTGGTTTTCGTACTTTTATCATTTTTATGTTTTCCTTATGGTAAGCCACCTTGCGGTACTGTCTAGACTGAAAGGCAGGCTACCTATTAAGTATGGGAATGATAAATTGATGTAATCTGGAACATAAATGGGACAATGGCCATCGCAAATGGCTCCCTACTGGGTAATAATAACTGGCTGGCACAGCTGTCTCTTTGGAGTTCTGGCTACCCAGAAGGACAACTGAGGCTGATTAATGGATCATTAGCTAAAGACAGAAAGCATGGGGCTGTCCTGATGAAATACAGAGTTTGTGTTCTTGCCTTAAAAGAGGGAAAGGCACCATCTTAGATTGTTTTAGGCTTAGGACTGGTGGGACTTTGGTGGGGAAATTTCCGTGCTGCCTGCTCACACTTTCATAATGCCTACATAATTCCAGATGCATGCCTTTGTGAATAAATGCACAAATCTCTATAAAACAGCAGAAATGACCATTTCTCTTCCTCCAAACTGAGGAGTAATTCTACATTATTATTATTATTATTATTATTATTATTATTATTATTAATCTTCCCATCACTTCAGTAAGAATGAGCAAATCTCTGTAGCTGTCTAGGTACATAAAAATGGTGTGATGCTTCAGTGCCACGTGGAATTTTATGAGGAAAGAGGCAGGAGTGTTTGACAGAAAAATCAAAATGTGGCTTCACACGTATTGAAGTGAAATGACATTCTGCGTACTAAAAACTGGGCAAGAACTTTTATAGATGAACCCTAAAAGGACGTTGATAGCCATTTCAAGTATCTCCCTGTCCGACTCTTTGAAAGAACTGTTGCTTCCAGCACAGTTTCCCAAATTTGGGTCTCCAGCTGTTTTTGAACTACAACTCCCACCATCCCTAGCTAGAAGGATCAGTAATGGGAATTTTGGTCCAAAAACAGCTGGAGACCCACATTTGGGAAACCCTGGTTTCCAGTGTTGTAGTTGCGCAGAAATGCAAAAGTTGGTTGGCACCTTCTGCAAGAGTGGTTTTTGCTTGTTTGGTTGAGTTGAGGATGCTGATATGGCAAATCCCTTTTGTGGTTAGGTCATAAGACATATAGAACATACAATAAGCCTGTTGAATCAGGTGAATGGTCCACTCAGTTCAGCACCCCGTTCCATAGCTGTCAACTTACAGATTTGAAAATAAGGGACCAGCAGCCTCGAAAATAAGGGATCAGCAGCCAAAATAAAAGATTTTGCTATTCTAAAGAGTACATACATTGTAAAGAGTTACATACATTGTCAATCCGGCATGAGGCGGTTGCAGTGCCACCGCGGCTGCTGAAGCGCCGCCCTTCTGCATCTCTTCCCATCCCCTCCTCTTCCTCCTCCCTCAGGCCGCCTCCTCAGCTGCCACCACCGCTGCCGCCTCCGGGTTCGCGGGCGGCGTGGGCGAGAGTCTCTCTCCCTTCCCCCCTCTCTCTCGGGCGGGGAAAGGCCGATGGAACTCTTCGTGCCAGGACGACAGTGCCAGCATGCCCTCTCTCTCATGGCAGTGGACCCCGAGCCGCTGCTTCCCACCTGTGCCGGGCAAGCATGAAACCCGGGAAATTTAAGGGACATCATCAATAAGGGACAGCAGCGGGACATGGCGCTGGGATAAGGGAGTTTCCCGCCAAATAAGGGATGGTTGACAGCTATGCCCCGTTCTCACAGTGGCCATACAGATGCCTATAGGATGCTCTCAAGCAAGACCTGAACTGAATGTCCCTTTTCCCTCCTCCGGTTCCAGTAACTGGTATTCATAACTGTTGCTGCCTCTGACTATGAAGGAAGAGCATAGCCACCAATGGCTAGTAGCCTCCTCCTCCTCCATGAATTTGTTCAGAGTCATCATCCATATTCTGAATGACTGGCACTCTCCTGCAGAGGCCCCTGTAATAGTCTGTGGGTCTTGCTCCATGCTCAAGGCATTGCACCTGTGTAGGAGAAGGGTCATGCCCCAGATATGAATGAATCCCAGTGTGCATTGACATGATAGTTTGCTGCAATATGACAATTTCAGGAAGTACCATAGCTGTGTATTTACCCCAAAGAGGTGCCTAATATGACTAGTCAACAGGAGAAGTCCCGCTGGCATGAGCAGAGGCTGCATCACATCCAGGAACAGAAGCAGAAAGAAATGTAGAATCAAACAACTGTCAATGTGCATTTTATTTCGAGATAAAGGCTGTACTAATAAGGGGTTTCTTGATTAAATTCTCTGCCCCAGTTATTTTAATGGCCAGCTCATATTTATACTCACTGTAGCAAAAATTTCTTCATTTTGACTTCTGCAAATTCATGAAAATTTATGCTTCAGGAGGCTGGTCTTTTTTAAAATAAAAAATAAAAACCCTATCAGTTCTTACTAATAAGTAAGGCACAGTTGCTTAGCTTTGCCAGTTATGATCTCGCTTCTCCATCAAATGATCATAATAGCCTAATTCCCTTTGGAGGCAAGCACCGCAAAAACTTCATCTTCCTTTGTAAAGTTTTGCAACCTTAATATATTCCTTGCCTGTTCCATCATGCACACCCTTCCACTGTCAAATTACGTATAATGGCAATTACTAAAAATACGGATCTGCATTTTAAAAATAATCTAACATAACAAAAGCTTAGATGGCAATTCCGCAAGCCATTCATACGGTGGCCACCATTTTCTTTCCTCAATCTATATGTAAATCTTTCTGTATTACTTACAATGATTGTAAGATAATTATAAACCTTGGCACTATATTTTTGCTGTTATTTTTGAAATATTATGAATAGCCTCATAATCACGAAAAAAATAAAGGGCACAAGTTGGTAGTTTGCTTTCCAAATGTATTATGAACTATTTATGATAATATATTTAAACACTATGTTTAATTTTTTTTTACAGGGACACTGGATCGCTAAAAACCCCCACCACATTTCCATATGAAAACCATTTCACATGACTTTTTGTGAACAAGCACGTCAGTTATTATGATCGAAGACTGGGAAAAGAGCAAAACCATTCAATTCATGGAGCTCCATTGATAGACTCCCTCCCTCTCTCCTGTTGACTTGCATCATCTGTTTCTTGGCAGAAACAAAATATTACCTGATATACCATTCACACACAATGGTTCCCTTCTAATGGAGAAAAAATGGACACAGGAACCTGTCTTATGCAGACCGTTGGTCCATTCCGCTCAGTTTTGTTTATACTGATTAGCAGCAGATCTCCATGGTTTCAGTTAATGTGTCCTTTCTAGCCACAACCAGAGATGCAATGGAGGGCATTCTGGTCTAGCAAAAACACCCAAAAAGGGAGTGAAGAAATACAGAGAGGTAGCAAGCCCAGGTGGTACCTGGTGCGGAATATTTTTTGTCTCCCCCATCCCCACACATTGACAGCTCGGGGTAGGCTTGGGAGTCACAGATGGGCACCGAATGTCCACCCCCTCTTCCTATGCCTCTGCACCCCCATCCCCGCGACTCCCAAGTACCGCGAGCTGTCAAGGGAAGGGAGGGAGCTATGCCACTTTGCCAGGGCACCGGCAAAGCTGCGTAGCTCGTCCTCTCGGGAGCCACAGCTCCTGTCCATCCTCCCTCCCTCCCCGGCTCACTGTAAAGTGGCAAAGTGGGAGCCGCTTACAGTGAGCCAGGGAGGGAGGAAGGGGAAGCCGTGGCTCCCACCTGCCTCTCCCTGGCTCGCTGTAAAGCAGCAAATCAGAAGCTGCTTACGGCGAGCCAGGGAGGAGGGATCCCACCACCGTCCGTACAGCGCTGCAGCGGCGCCAGTGGCAAACCACTATGTACAGTGCATGTGCGGCGTCACTACGCACAGCACATGCGTGGGACACTGCACATGCGTTGTACGTAGTGATTTGCTGCCGGTGCTGCCTGAGAGCCGTACGGACAGTGGCGGGATCCTCTGCTTGCAGCTGCGGCAGCGGCAGAGGGATCCTCCACTTGCGGCTGTGGCGGCAACGGAGGCATCCCACTGCCATCTGTATGGCACTTGGGTAGCGCTGGCGGCAAACCACTACGTACAGCCCATGTGTGGCATCGCTACATACAGTGCATGTATGCAACACCGCACATGCGTTGTACATAGCGGTTTGATGCCGACACCACCTGAGAGATGTACAGACGGTGGTGGGATCCTCTGCTCGCAGCTGCAGCAGCAGTGGAGAGATCCTCCACATGCGGCTGAGGCCCGGACCAGGACGGCAGGGCAGGCACCCCGCGGGGTACCTTCTTGTCTCCCTCCCAGATATGGAACCCGGGGCACACCGCCCCCCCTGCCCCCACCTTGCAGTGCCACTGAAGAAATGTCAGATAAGCCTGGGGCCTGGGATAGAGTCCTAGTTACTAGATAGGATGTAGAGAGGCCTGGAGAGCAGACCCTCCAAGTGTCCCTATTTTCCAGGGACAGTCCCAGATTTACAGAAGCCATCTTGGTTTCTGATTTGATCCCGGAGTGCCCCACTTTTCCTATTTTTATCAGAGAAATGTTGGAAGGTATGGAGTTCTGCGACCCCTGAACCAAGGAGATAAGTAATGATGCAACCTTTGAAAGACATCTGAAGGAAGCCCTGTATAAGGAAGGCTATTTTTAATGTTTAATGTTTTATTATGTTTTTATATATGTTGGAGGCTGCCTAGAGTGGCTGGGCCAACACAGTCAGATGGGTGGGGTAATAACAACAACAACAACAACAACAACAGAATAGTATGTCCCTATTTTCATCAAAGAAATGTTGGAGGGTATGGGAAAGCCACATTGGGCTGGCTCTGAGGTTGCACACCCTTGTCCTGGAGCTATGCTATGCCACAAGCACTGTGGCTGCTAATCTCAGCTCCCCAGAGATGCTCGAAACACCTGACCAAGTAAAATATACCCAGAGTCGAGAGTGGATTTCATGCTCTTTATTCAGCTCATAGTGGTGAGGAGGAATGAATGTTCCCCCAAAATATCTGCTTTATATACATTATTCACACAATGGGCTGCACGTGATTGGCTAATTCCGGGATTCTCCTGTAGGCCAATCAGGTTGTGGATTCACTTCCACCTGGAGCTGGATTGGGTGGCTCCTGCGGACCAATCATACTGCTGCATTGTTCTAGGACCAATCCGACTCCTGCATTCTGAATCCTATTGTTCTAGGACCAATCAGACTACTGTATTTTGGACCCTATTGTTCTAGGACCAATCAGACTGCTGCATTTTGGATCCTATTCAACTCGGTACATAACACCAAGGAACAAAACTGGAGCCCAGGCTCAAAGTTGCCAGCAGCTGATGCTGGCCGTGGTTTTCTCACCTAAACATGCCAGGAGTGGGGTGCTAATGTACATTTCTGCCCAAGCATCAAGCTGAAGGAAAGTCCATCAGCAAAGTCATCCCAGGACAAACTATAATTGCCCACAATATAAGCTCACTGTCATCTTCATCAAAATGTGTAATATGCAAAGCCTACTTTGTATTTGTGGGTTCGCCTATTTTCTCTCTTTACTAACACTGCGGCAGTTTGGAAATCTTGTCCAAACCATTCTTTTGTCTAAAGGAAAAAGAAGGGTGCGGGGGCACCAAAAGAAAGTAAAAGAACATTTTGTTCTAAAAACATTCAGATGTATTTGGCAGTTGTGTGTGTGTGTTTTAAGTAGACGCTCTGAAATATTTCTCATGAAAAACATGTCAATTTTTTAAAAGATTTGTGGCAATTCAGAGATTTAACTGTGATTCAAAGTGGAGATTCCAAAGATAACACACACACACTGAGGCTGTAACAGCTCTCTAACAGCTCTGGGTGGTTTGCTTTATATTTTGATTTAATTTTATGAATTGCACAAATAGATGAATTCCTTTCTTAATGTGCTTTCCAAAACTAAGAAATGGCTTCAAGCGAGTTATTGAAAAGTATAAAATGTAAGTGTTAACATTGAGGGAAGTGGTTCAATAAATGGTCTGAGATGTGATTATTAAACAAAAGTTTACATTTCCCTTATAGCTAAAATATTTTTCTTAGTGTTTAATAATATCTATGGGCAATACGATTAGGTGCTTTTCTCTGGGAAACCGGTCCCACAAAACTTGTTAACACACATAAAAGTGATGCAGTTAGGGCCAATGAATTTAGTGATGCAGTCCACCCACTTCAAGTTGAGAAAACATGAAACTTTTCAGGAGAAGCATTCCCATGCATACCATGCTTCAGATGAACAAGGCAGGAATGAGAAATCAAGCTCTGTTTGTTGCTTGCAGACACCACTTAGGAGTCACACACACACATCTCATTGGCACACTATTTTGCTCCATTTCTGGAACACAGTAGATCCAGTTCCTTTTACGTGTATGTGTCAACTGCAAATGAGAATCTTATTAAAACTTCTGATGAGGTATCTGAACAGCGCTTTTTTCTAAAAAATAAAATAAAATAAAATAAAGTTTAGGGGTACTGTCATTTTGACTCAAGAAAAATCACCATTTTATAGTTCAAATTGGGGGAAATGAAGACAGTAAATGGGCAGAAGTACAAAGAACATGCATTACCTCATATTACACAGCCAGGGCCATCTTTACCCAGGGGTGCAAGGGGTGCGGGGCACCCCGGTGCTGAATTCTGGGGGGCACCAAATGTATTCTGGGGGGTGCCAAATGTATATGTACTGTATACCCATCCCTCTCGATCGGCGGCAGTGAAAAGCAATGGAGCGAAAGTCCCCCCCCCCCGTTGCTCTGTTACTCCGTAGCGTCAAATTTCCCTAAAAAGTCAGGAAACAAAAGCAGCCATTTCTGCTGCGTTGTTGTTACAGGTGAGCGAAAAAGGTCAATAACTTTGGCTTCTCCCCTCCCAAAAAAGCTCAACAACTTTGAGTTCCTCCCCCGCCCTGTACACAGCTGACAGCTGACAGTATCTTCCTTTACTTCTGAATCTCCCGTTAGATTCACAAAACGTTTAGAGGTATGCGTACCCCTGCGTACTCCCAGAAAAAAAACCCCTGAATCTGAACACACACCGCTTCTGGTACATTTGTGCATGCAGGAAGAAAAAGACCAGGGTGGGAGAGGGGCCTTTTATGGCACCACAGAGTGACTGGTGTTCTCTCTTTCCTACCAGGTGTCAAATAAGATTTCTCCTCTAGAGTCCCCAGGTCCTCTGGCTACCACTCAAGAGCTGAGAGGGCAGCAGTTCAGGCTGCTTGATTTCTCTGGCTCTCTCCCCACTCCAGTTTCGGGTATCCTCTTCTCTTCTATGCATGTCCTTTCCAGGAGCTGTCAAAGCTGTCAAGCGTCCCTTATTTGAAGGGACAGTCCCTTATTCCAGCGCCATGTCCCGCTGCTGTCCCTTATTGATGGATGTCCCTTAAATGATGTCCCTTAAATTTCAAAGGAAGCAGCTCCTCTCCCTCCCTCCCTGCCGGCCAGGGAGGAGGGAGGCTCCAACTGTGTTGCTTGGCTGTGTTGCTCACCCAATAAGAAGTCTAAGAACGACCTGGGGGTGGAGCTTGCATGCCTTGTGCTGATCAAATCAGCTGCATTGCCTGGGGACTCGCCTTTGCTCAGCGCTTCCCACCGGAGAGGTGACGGTGGTTTTCCTTGAGGCTTCATTTGGCTGCTGGCTGGGCTTTCTGCCTTTGGCTCAGAGGGGCTCAGAAGTTGAACATACCTGCGCTGAGTGCTCGGATTGGAATCAGATGGATACGTCATCGACTGCCCACTCACCCTTGCTGGTGAAAAGGTCTGTCTGGAGTGGGGGCACATGGTGGGGGGAAAGGAAAGGAGATCTCGTGGGAGGGGGGCTTTTGAATTTGTTTTGGAGGCTCCTTCGATTGACTTATGGGGGGAAAGAAGGGAGCTGGTTGACTAAAATGGTGGGTGACTGGCAATCTCATGGCGAGAGGGGGAGGCTGTTTGTGTGTGGCTAGTTAATGCAAGCTGAGGGGGTTTTTGAATGCTGGACGCCATTTTGGTGCATGTGCTGCTGCAAACTTTGCAGTGCAAAGCCAGGCCGGGAGCCATCTTAAGTTGAGGCTGCATAGGCCTTGTGGTGCATGTGATTCAGATTCTATTCAGTTGAACCTCTGGTTACAAAGTTGGTTGGACGGTGTTCTAGAAGCTACCAGCATGAGTTTGACCAGACTGCAGGAGGACAGGAAGACTGGAGTGCCTGGAACAGGTGAGGCTGCAGGTTCCTTATTTTGGCTGCTGATCCCTTATTTTCAAGGCTGCTGGTCCCTTATTTTCAAATCTGTAAGTTGACAGCTATGGGAGCTGGACATCCATTGCCATCCCTTCTTTGCTGCTCTAATGAGGTCACATCACTTCTTCCAACACTTCTAGACTGGTTTGTATAACAGCACCCACAGGTAGCCTGAGATCTGGGCACTTGGCAAGTTGGCACAGCCTTTGAGAGTGAACATGGCATTGATGCCATGTGACAAAGAGGAAGGGAAAAGGTCTCAGTCAAGCTCTATGCCAGTCCCTTTCCATGCATTTCGCTGCATTCATTTGGGGGCTGGTTTTTGCCTAGAGATGGGGAAGAAATTTGATTTTGTTTGCATTTACAGGCAAACCTACCTAATTTGTACTTTCCCAAACAATTTTTGATTTCCAAACAACTGTACTTTCCAAAGCCATTCATGTTTCACTAAAGTTTCCAACCCACTTCGCCAGCTAAGTAATGTGAACAAACATGGATATACGGTGGTGAAGTTTGTGTATAAATGTAGTATATATTAGTGACAATAACATTA